TACACCCTCCTACATATAATATTAATGGTGAAGCGCTCAACTTATATAAAAGTGAAAATTATCTCCTACCTAAATATTAATAAATTATTCCCAATATAAAACTAAATCATCTAAACGAAATATCTAGTGCAACATCCCCACATATAAATTATACGCCCCCTGGTGGTATAGTGATAATCAACTAATGCCTTTTGAACTGTGCAAAGTGATACATATATCCAAAAACAATTAAATGAAAAATCAATTCGAAATAATTAGTGATGCCACACTGTGCAAAATAATAAAAGTGTTCAATGACTTCACTCCATGCTGTAATTGTGCTCTTCGTGATAATCTTGATGTGACTCCACTCAATAATAGCAAAAGTGCCCCCTCACCTTCCACATTCGACCCTTGCGGGTCACAAAGCTTTATATATAATATATCTCTGCCAGGTTTTTCCTCCTCCACTGCCTCCACCGACTTAATCCTCCTCCAGGCAATGAGTTCCACTCAAATCACTCCCCTCACAATGCGGACACAGACACAGGGCGCATATGCAAGAAAAAGCAGACCTCCATAGTGCAACACTGTTTTAATGCACTCAGAGATATATAGCAAAAACGCACTCACATATCCTCCAACAGAGAGAAGCCTGGCACCTACAGAAGGGGCTGCCTATGCACACACCCACACAAAGGGTGAGGGGTTGGGGAATATGGTCAAGGCACATTCCACATTGCGATCCCCCTCAAAGACCAACATTAATAGGGTGCAATATACATATAGGTGTAAATACATACAGTGCATGTGTACACCTACACACATATTGTGTGTGTGTTTGTGTGGTACTTTATTAATTTATGCATTCAATGATAAATGAGCATGTAGCTATTCACTTCCCAGAGAGAAAGAGAAACAAGGGAAAGAAAGAGGTATAGGGAGAGATAAAAACAAGAGGGAGAAAGAGAAGGTATAAAAAGAGAGAGGAACAGAGATAACGGTGGGAGGGGAGGGGGGGGAACAGAGAAAAAGGGAGAGAATGAAGAAGCAATATAAATAAAGAGAACGGGAAAGCTAGAAGGATAGGTGGGGGAAAAAAAAACAAAAACCAAGAAATAGGGAAAGAAAAGAGAACTGAGAGCGCAAGAAATAGAGGGATAAAGTGTGAGGGAAAAAAAGAATACGTGGGAGAGACGCGGAAGAAGAGAGAAAAAGAAAATGAGGGAGAAAGAAAGAGAAATAGAAAAAGTGAGTGATAGAGAAAGAAAAGTGAAACGAGGAGAGAGAAACCAAAAAGGGATGAGAAGTAATGGAATAAAAAAGAAAGGGGGATAGGAATAGAGGAAGTGCTAAAAGTCCATAGGTTAGGGGACGCAAATTACTTGCCTTCCCCCAGGTGTTGACAACCCTTGCTACACCACTGGCTCAAGATGAATTGGATAATGGTTAACGATGGTAAACTGCATTCTACATAACACCCAAAACAAATTCAATAAAACATAAAAACATGGAGTCTGACTCAAAAAGGAATGGCCCCTTTCTTCTATTTCACTAAACGTCTGCTTTCCCCCTTTTTTTTTCCCCTATCTCGCTTGGTTGATCCCCATCCAAACCCAGAGGGAACATAACCTTCCTATTTTTTTTTTTGCTTGCTCTATCCCACTAATATTTTGCAATGGAATGTCTGCCTAACGTGGGGAATCAATCTTGACCATTGATCAGAGGTGATTGTAGCCATATTAGCGCACTTGCGACAGAAACAACTGATTACTGACGTGATGCTTTTTTTATTTGCACTAACATACAATTTTGAGGACAAGCTTTCGGGGAGTATCCCCTTCTTCAAGGGTAGTACTGCCTGGACCTTGAAGAAGGGGACATACCCCGAAAGCTTGTCCTCAAAATTGTATGTTAGTGCAAATAAAAAAAGTATCACATCAGTACTCAATTGTTTCTGACCAATGATCAGAAATTTTATCACATAGCACATTACATGCAGTTAGCAATTTGTAAAGCCCCCATACACACTGTGAGAATATTGGATGAATTAATTTTTGTTGCATGCTAGTCTCATATCGAATGTGAAGAGGTTACTAAAGTTACGAAAATTCTTGTACGACAGAATAAAAAATTAAAAAGTAATGTATTTTTTTTAACGATCAGATTATGGTACGTACGTTTCAAAAGCAGTATTTTTGGAATGATTTTCTGATTGTGTGTTCTAGGCTTAATGGCGAAGTATTCCAGTGAAACAACTGCAGAGAACAAATTAATTCTTTATTAAATTCTGGCATTAATAAATTATTAATTCTGACATTTCAATTCCATATGCTTGTATTATCTTGTCCAAAAAAAACAATAAACAGATTGAAATATAAAAGACTTTACAGTCTTAAAAAAACAAACAAATCTGAGCAGGATATTGATAAAAAGAAGTACCAAATAAGTGTTGTGTTTTTTTTTTTTTTGTCCCATTTTAAAAAAAAAAAAAAAAAAAAAAAAAAAAAAAAAAGTTAGCAAATTAGTCAGAGTTGACTTCTAACCAAGGCTTGCTGTCTCTGCTGGATTTAGTGTGAACATCTAGGCACCGATGACCTTTTGGTCATGAAAAGGTAAAAAATAGCAGAGGTTTCTGGATTATTTGAATGTCTAACCCTCTGATCAAGGAGAAGGTTCTTGAAACCGATGGTATACAGCTTAGGGCGGGGCAGAGATAGTGAGTAGGTTAATTGATGTCCCTTATACAAGGGTGGATTTCATGCTACGAAACCTTTTAGTAAGGGTATTAGCAGTGGTGTAACTCTGCTCTGATTGGCATGGCACATGTCTGGCAAGATAAACAAGGTGGGTCCTTAGACTGTTTTGCAGGCTTAGTAGTTCTGGTCCTTCACTCTTTTCCATTGAAACGATTTGGTAAATCTACAGATTAGAAAAAGCCCAATATCCTTAAAGCGGTATTAAACCCAGAAGCAAACCTTTCTTATATTGAAGCTTACCAGTTCTTAGATGTGATGGCTATATTAGCCACTTGACGCCAAAGCACGTACATGTACATCATTTGGCGGTAAGCGGTTGTACTGGGATGGCTGAATGGCTTTTACAGGTGGCCGAAAGGGACCACCAACCCCTAATAGACCCGAGTACCTGTCGCTGCCTATTGCTTGTCATAATGGATGTTTCTGGTGACAGCAATAGAAATGATAAAATAAAAAATGTAAAGAAATAGTCTAAAAATGTAAAAAAAAAAAAAAGGTTAAAGCACTCCCCCCCACCCTATCGCAGGCGTTAGTCACGTACATAAACAGTGATCACACCAGATGTGAGGTATTGCAGTGAATGTCGGCACAAAATAAATAATTCTAACACCAGACTTCTTCTGTAGCTCTAAACTGGTAGCCTGTAAAGGCTTTTAAAGCGTTGCCTATGATGACGTAATTTGTCGCCATTCCACAAGCAAGCGCAGTTTTAAAGTGTGACATGTTGGGTATCTATTTACTCAGTGTCGTACCATCTTTTATATTTGTACAGAGAATTGGATATTATATTGTGTTTGTGTGCATTTAAAATTCATTAAAGTATTTATTTCAAAATAATGTGTTAAAAAAACCCACTGCGCAAATACTGTGTGACATAAAAAATTGCAAAACCCACCGTTTCACTCTCTAGGGCCTCTGCTGAAAAAAGTATGTCATATATGGGGTTTTAAGTAATTTTCTAGCAAAAAATAGATTTTTTTTTACTTGTAAACAAAGTGTCAGAAAAGGCCTGGTCTTCAAGTGTTGTGTTTCCTTTTTTTTGGCTTTTTTTTTTTTCCATCAGGTGATTCAGCCAGGAAGTCTGCTGATTTTCAGAAGTTCAAGCTCTCCCACAGAATGTATCAGTTTACATGGATGAGACCATCCATTTACCACTGGCAGGGGTTGATTAAAATTATCAGCTTTTATTTATTCATGTAAAACCTTTATCCCTAAAGGAAAAAAAATGTTTGCTGTAACTGATTATAAAGAGTGACCTGAAGTTTGGCTTCAATTTGTTATTTGTATTCCAATCTGCTAATACATTTAACACTCCCATCCTCCCCAGACTGATAATGCTGCTGTCTGCTGTGTCCTGGCTCATTCCTCCAAAGTGGTGTCTCACTAATACAGTAGGTGTGTTACTGGCCAGATCACCAGGTGAAAACAGAGGGAAAAAAAGCCAAAGAAAAGAAAACTGATGCAGCCACCACATCTAATGATTGGTAAGCTGCAATATATTACATTTTTGGTTTTGAGTTTATTACCGCTTTTAAGTGATGGCTGAAATTGGGAGCAACGCTTGTAGTTGTTGGCTCGTGTGTGGCGAGGATTAAGCTGCGGCAGAAATTAGATTTTTCTCTGCTTAATCGGGCAGTAATTGTTGGATTGGTAAATCATATGCAGGATCTCTCTGTTCTGTTGACATGCTATGTTGAATTTTCTCAACTGATCACCATTGTTCTCCCAAAAGCTAATCTGGTACTAAAGAGTGAAATATTTATCAACAGAAAAATCAGCAGTTTGATATCATCTGCATGTCTATCCACAGTTGGATTGTTGTGGGTTGCTTTTGTTGCAGTCCTAAGTGATAAACAGGGATTGAAATGTGGGAGGAAGATTTGGTGGCTATCACATGATGAGATCCAGAGACACCTGACTTTGTTTTCTACAATTGGGAAGCACATGCACAAAATAAACTTTAATACTTGGTTTACACATTAAATAAATCTGAAATGGTGTATTTTCCATATTTTGGTGATCGTGTCCATTTTAAAATATTTTACTGTTAGCAGCTATATGGCAAATTTTAAAAGTTTACATAAGTGCATTTCTGTCTTGAGTTCACCGTGTGGATTACAGAGTTTTTTTTTTTTTTTTTTTTTTTTTTTTTTTTAAGTGAAAACAAGCAGGGCTCACATCTGGTTTTATCTGGTTACAACCATTTATTTTTTTTCCTTGTAGTTGAAAGAGCTATCTTAAAGGCGTGACAGCGCTTGGACTATGTCCCATTGCTGTACTAACCTCCTGTGGGATGTACGAAAACGTGCACTTGGATTGGATGAACCCAGTGTTATCCGTATCAACTATTTGGGTATGTAAAGCCAAACAACATTTTACTGAATTTGTACTGAAAAAAACTTAGTGTATTTGTAATTTTTGCAATGCTTAACCACTTCCAGACCGGACAGTTTTTACCCCCTTCCTGACAATTTTCAGCTTTCAGCGCTATCACACTTTGAATGACAATTGCGTGGTCATGCAACACTGTACCCATATGAATTTTTTACCATTTTTTTAAGACAGATAAAGCTTTATTTTGGTGGTATTTATTCACCGCTGGGATTTTAATTTTTTTTTGCTATGTAAATGAAAAAGTCCAAAAATTTTGAAAAGTGTTTTTTGTAATAAAATTTTGCAAATCTTTCATCATAAATCTTGGCCAAAATGTATTCCGTTATCTTTTTAGTAAAAAAAATCCAAATTAGTTTATAACCAAAAATTATAATTTTTAAACATTTTTGTTTTTTTACATTTTTATTTTAATTTTTTATATTTTTTATTTGTATTTTTTTATTTTACATACTGTCACCCTAGCAGTACAGTGTGATGAAGATTTTTTTTTTTTTTTTTACACTGATTGCTTTTACACCCGTATAGGATGTAAAAGCAATCATTTCTCTTTCTCTCTGTCTGCATTCTTGCAGTCATTGAGAAGTACTGAGTGAGCTGTGATTGGTCACAGCTTGTCACATGGTACAAGGCTGTTGTGAATAGCCTTGTACCATGTGACCTCTGTGATCATTCACAGATTTCACACGTAGTAAGCAATGATGTCACAAGTGACATCTTGCTTAGTACTTTGCATGTGATCATTGATTGGCCAATCACATGATCGGGACCTCATACAGAGGTCCCATCTGCCGATCGGTGTTTCACTGTGTCTGGAGGACACAGCGGGCATCGGATCGCGGTGCTGCGTGCTTCCAGGGAGCGCACACAAGCAGGGTGCGGGGAGGCCGTTTATAAATGGCCACCCGACCCTGCACTGCACTTTATATACAACGGCCGGTCGGGAAGTGGTTAAAAGCAACTTTAAAATGTTTGTTTTGCTTTTCTAAATTTTTGTTATTTGAATAGCAAAATAATGATTAGGCAGCATTTAAATACAGGGTGTGCTTAATTTAGCCAACCTATAGGCTTGCATTGTGAGAAGAAGGAAACCGTGTCTTGGTTCATCACTGTAAAATTGGAAGCAGAGTATGCATATGTAATGAGCATGTACACATATTCTAAAACTACACAGATCCAATCCCTTTTACATACTAAACATGACAGTTGTATAATTTACTACAAAGATAGCCTGGAATTAGAGTACATCACCTCAAGTGGGTTCTGAAGTCACCCTTGGAAAAGCGGGGTTATGTTGATTTGGCTTATCCACCCCTGATGCCTTTTCTTTCATTCTTCTCATTCTCGGAGTGACCCCTCTGTCCATGGTTGGCTCTCCTTAGCCTCCTTAACACTGGACGTCATAGGCACAGGCAGATTGAGAGTTTACCTGATACACAGAATGGCTGTTTATTATGGGATGGCAATAGCGAGGTTTCTATCAGAAGTAGGGATGAGCACAGGCATGTTTGGACACAAGTTCATACCTGCCTGAGCTATCCTTTGTGGAAGCTGTCACTGCAGCTATCCAATCAGTTGCAGAAGCATTCCATGCCCTGCAGCCCCATATATACAAAGGGCATATATATGTGCAACAACAGGGTGGGGAATGCCTTCAACAGTTATGTTTTGGCTGTCTGCAATGACAGTTTTCTGGCAGGATAGTTCAGGCAGGGTCGGACTCATGTCTGATCCCGCCTGAGCTCATCTCTTATCAGAACAAAATCAACAGGGAATGGGTGCAGAAATGTATTGCATGTAATATCTGTGGTAATTAGGTTCCCAATTAGGGACCTGCACTCAAACGATGTATTCCTCAGCTGCACCTGAGACACGTTTGTTTGCATTCAGATGTACCTATTGTGTCTTTCTAAATAAAGTTTTAGGGTCCATCTTTAACCACTTGCCTACCAGGTCAATTCTGCCATTGCTCACATACATATAAACAACATTTTTTGCTAGAAAATAGCTTTAAAACACCCAAACATATACTTTATGAATGCGGAGGCCCTGGAGAATGAAATGGTGGTTCTTGCAATTTTGGTCAGCGGTTTATCAAACGCTAATCATTTAGCCACTGTGCTGAAAAATACACTTTAATGAATTTTAGTGCACACAAACACCATATAATACCCAAAATTTTTGGTAAAAAATAAGAGGATGTTATGTCGTGTAAATGAATACCTAACATGTCATGCGATAATTTACATGAAATTATCCATAGGCAACACATTGAAAGCCTTTATGGGTTACCAAGTTTAGAGTTAAACAGAAGGTCTGGTGCTAGAATTATTGCTTTCGTTCTGATGTTTGTACTTTTTTTTTTTTTTTTTTTTTTTTTTTGGATCAACTTTATAACTATCACAAGGGATGAACACATGTAGTGTGTGTGTGTGTGTGTGTGTGTGTGTGTGTGTGTGTGTGTGTGTGTTACATTGGGATTTGTGGCTTTTATTTTGAAAAACTGTTTAATAAAAGTTCCATTGGTTATTTTTTTTTTTTTTTTCTTCAGCCTTGTTTTTCATTTTCCAACAGGACGAAGAGAATTTGTTCAAAAACTTAAATTGGAAAAAACTCTAAATATACATCATGGCTGTGTAAGTAAATCATGGAACCAAAATTATACTCTTTTTGGATTATTTAGATTAAGCTATGTTAAATTTTACTGCGCCAATGGCACAAAAAAGCCATTCCCGATATCCCTGATAACACATTGACACTCCTCACTGGGCTCTTTTGTGGCATTGGCACAGTAAAAGCTTCTTTGTGGTAACTCGACTACACTGCTAATTTTTGTTCAAGTATTGTCGTAATGTCTCTCCCCCCTTCCCCCCCCCCCCCCAAAAAAAAAAGTCTTGTCTTTTTCCAGAGCAGCCTGTATTTCTCCTGAGGTTACCTGTGAGTTTTTCTTTGTATCCTGACCAGTTCTTATAGCAGTTGTGGCTGCTATCTTTTTTGGTCTACCTGACCTTGGCTTGGTTTTGAGAGATCCTCAAACTTTTCACTTCTTAATAAGTGATTGAACAGTACTGACTGGCATATTCTAGGCTTTGGATTTTTTTATATTCTTTTCCATCTGTATAAAGTTCCATTTCCTTGTTAAGCAGGTCTTTTCTGCTCCCAATGGCTCAGTATCTAGCCTGCTCAGTGCATCCACTGAGAGCTACCAAACTCATTGACTGTTTATACACTAATTGCAATTTAAAAAGCCACAGATGTGAGAAACTAATCTTTAATTGCCATTTTAACCTGTGTGGGTCATCTTATGTCTGCACCAAGGCCAAACATTCCAGGGTATGTAAACTTTGTGATCAGGGTGCTTTCATTGGGTGATTTCATTTATCATTATTGTCTAAAAAGGAGCCAAACAACCATGTGATAATAAATGGCTTCATGTGATCACTATCCTTAAATGAAAGACAGTTTTTTTTTTGGCATGATCTGTCATATTTTCAATATAAGTGCCAAAATGTCACGATTTCTGCCAGGGTATGCAAGCTTTTGAGCACAATTGTACTTGCAAAGTCCTTGGTTTTAGCAGAGTTCAATTGATCAAAAACAGTACAGTGACTTTCTCAAGTCCAGTTAGATGTTCCTTAATTTGATGTTAAAACGAGAGCTGTCAAAGTGTCCTGGCATTCCCCTTTTCTGTGCTATCAAAGGGGTGTTGAGGCCATCTGACCAATCAGTCAGTTTAAGGGGTGGTTGCTGGACAGTTACCTGTTTATGACCAAGTCCCAAATACAGTTTTATATAAGTATTCATATTTCTGAATACCTACCATTTACAGACTAACTTGCAGGTTATTTTCCAGCATGAAATTGGCTTCGATATGGATATGTCCGCTCTCGGACATTTACTTCTCATAGGAGGGGTGTGAAGGTCGAATCCACTCTGGTATCTCATAGCATAGGGGTGTTTGGGTTCAAAATGATACCCAATAACTGATGAAGATGAATATGACTTTATTCTGCCTGTGCTGTCATAATTTCAGAAGTTATGAAACATGTTGACGTTTTAGTGCACATTCACACAATGGTGCAAAGACATCAGTTTTTCTGCACATGTTCTGCAAGAGTAGAACAAAATCAATTGTCCTCTATGTGCCCTGTTCACACCACAACACTGGTATCACATGCAGATTTTTTTCTGTGCAGGAATCTGCAAGGTATATAAAACTCATTGAAACGAGGCCTTAGAGTCTTGGCTGATAACCAGTCTATCAGGAATGTGTAATCAACCTACTTCCTACTAAGGTATTTATGACCCACTGTCTGTTTATTTTTTAATCACTGAAGACACTTTGCCTTGGCAAAATGTAGAAATTGCCCCTAAATTTTATACAAGTCTGTGGGTGGATCAAGCCTTCCTTTTTGGTTACAGAGACACAAGTTTTCACCTGTGTACACCATTACAGCTTTCCAACCCACAGTGTCCTAACAACTATTGATGTCTTCGGTTGATAAGGAGAATGTTGGGTTCTTGCACAGCATCCTTATTTGCTCCACTCCTGCCTATCAGCAATGGGGTCACTGAGTGAAGGAGAGAAACCGAGAGAGACATTGGAATACTAGTCAGTACCAGTGTGCAAAGGTGTATTTGCTTTAGAAGAATAAACCATGCTGGGTGTCCTACGTGTGTGGATGTTGCTGCATTTTGTAAGAAGAGAAGAGAAGAAAAAGGCGCTTCTAAGTGCAGTAAATCCAGAACTTTTAATAAAGGACTGTTACAAACACTTACAAGAGTGATAAGATAATAGGATCCTCAGATGTACAGTTGTGTTCAAAAATAATAGTGTGTTGAAAAAAGTGAATAAAGCTCAAAATCCTTCTAATAGCTTTTATTTCCATACACACAAATGCATTGGGAACACTACACATTCTATTCCAAATCAAAACATGAAGAAAAATATAACAAATTTGTGTTGTTCCTCTAAAAAAATTTAAGAAAAGTGAATATTAGACGGTTCAAAAAAATAGCAGTGTTTGTATTCTTCTTTACAAACTCAAACATTCACTATATAAACTGAAAAATGTTTGAAGATTTTGCTTTCCTTTGAATCACTTAATGAATATTTAGTTGTATAAGCACTGTTTCTGAGAACTGCTGTACATCTGTGTTGCATGGAGTCAACCAACTTCTGGCACCTGTGAACAGGTATTCCAGCCCAGGATGATTGGACTACATTCCACAGTTCTTCTCTATTTCTTGGTTTTGCCTCAGAAACTGCATTTTTGATGTCACCCCACAAGTTTTCTATTGGATTAAGATCCGGGGATTGGGCTGGCCACTCCATAACATCAAACTTGTTGGTCTGGAACCAAGATGTTGCACGTTTACTGGTGTGTTGGGGTCTTTGTCTTGTTGGAACACCCATTTCAAGGGCATTTCCTCTTCAGCATAAGGCAGCATGACCTCTTCAAGTATTCTGATGTATTCAAACAGATCCATGATCCCTGGTATGCGATAAATAGGCCCAACACCGTAGTATGAGAAACATCCCCATATCATGATGCTTGCGCAACCATGCTTCACTGTCTTCACAGTGTACTGTGGCTTGAATTCAGTGTTTGTGGATCGTCTGACAAACTGTCTCCAGCCACTAGACCCAAAAAGAACAATCTTACTTTCATCAGTCCACAAAATGTAGCGGCATTTCTCTTTAGGCCAGTCAATGTGCTCTTTGGCAAATTGTAACCTCTTCAACACATGTCTTTGTTTCAACAGTGGGACTTTGCGGGGGCTTTTTGTAGATAGCTTGGCTTCACATAGGCGTCTTCTAATTGTAACAGTACTCACAGGTAACTTTAGACCTTCTTTGATCTTCCTGGAGCTGATTGTTGGCTGAGTCCTTGTCATTTTGGCTATTCTGCTATCCATTCGAATGGTAGTTTTTCACTTTCTTCCACGTCTTTCAGGTTTTGGTTGCCATTTTAAAGTATTTGCGATCATTTTAGCTGAGCAGCCTATCATTTTCTGCACTTCTTTATGTGTTTTCCCCTCTCCAATCAACGTTTTAATCAAGGTACTCTGTTCTTCTGAACAATGTCTGGAACAACCCATTTTCCTCAGAATTTCAGAGAGCGATGCACTGTAACCAGCATGTACAACATTTGCTGCCTTCCTTCCTTAAATAAGTGCAATAATTGCCACCTGTTTTTCAAATGACCTCACTAATAGAACTCCACACTGCTATTATTTTGAACATGCCCCTTTCAAGTAGTGATTCAGTTACAGATTCAGCAGCATGCATGTTATGTTTGTCTGTTGGATTTCTATTACTCTACTACACCTGCTAGTAAATTTTTTGCCATGTAGAAATATAATTTCTACCAAAAACAGTGATTGATCAGGTTAGTGATGTCTGACTGCTATTATTTTGAACAGAACTGTACGTCTCTGCGAGGCTCTTTTCACTGTGTGTCAGCAGCTATTATTTTATCACCCTTGTAAGTGTTTGCAACCATTCTTTATTAAAAGTTCTGGATTTACTGCACTTAGAAGTGCCTTCTTGTTCTCTTCTCTCCTCACCTCAGAGTCTGCTAATTCATACAGACTCACTATATTTTTGGACAGTAATCTACAGCAAAGCTGAGTAGGTCTTGACTTCACTGCCCCACCAATCATGCATGGCATAGACTGAGAATGTACGAACGACTGACTGGTTTCATCAGGGCTTCTCTCCTGCTTTTTATTTATTTATTTACATTGAGTCAGACCTAAAATTAAAAGTGACCAAATGCACAAACATTTGGCAGTGCCACAGCATAACATTAAATGCAATAATTAATTTAAAAAAGTTGCCTGTGGGACTTTCTGCCAATATGCATGCGAGATCATTGTCATACTTTCAGAGCCAGTTTACCTAGCTTCACCAGAAATAATCCATAATAACATTGTATCTCTTGGCTCCCCCAATACATATTTTTCTTATATTATACTTCTGAACTACAGAATAGAGAATGTTGTCCGAAATACAAAAAGTATTTGATCAATCCATAGCTGTATTATATGGAGCAACTGTAGAGGCTCCTCTTCTGATCTCTCCTTTTCTTAAAATCACACTGCTGAAGAAAGGACTTTTTTTTTTCAGGTTTCCCAAAATTCAGTACTTGAATTATGAATTTAGGAAACAACTACTTGGCTCATAATTTTGAACAGTGCTGAATTACCAAATAGGCAGACTAGGCACTGGCCTATGGGCCCAACGCCATTTAAGGGCCCCACGACAACTGATCAGAATAATAGTGATATGATACTAAAAAAAAAATGACAATGACCTAGGGTCCCTGCCTGGGTTGTGCAAGCCTACCCTGGATGTAGCAACAGATGCTTTAGAAATTGTGGCCAGCGGGGAGATGTGCTACACATCTGGTGGTCCTATTCGCAACTGGTGGGGTTCTGGTCCAGGGTATTTGGCCTACTACAGATCCTATTCCACCTGACGGTTCCCAAAGATGCCAAATTGGCCCTACTGCATTGTCCCATACCCTGCCTATACGCTCATCAACAAAAATTGGTTTCCTACCTTTTTATCTCAGCCAAGCGGACCATTGCCCAAGCCTGGAAGACCCCATCTGTTGCCTTTTTGAAGGTG